GAAGAGACATGAAGAAGAGGGGACACATGTTGATGTAGAAGAGACATGAAGAAGAGGGGACACATGTTGATGTAGAAGAGACATGGAGAAGAGGGGACACATGTTGATGTAGAAGAGACATGAAGAAGAGGGGACACATGTTGATGAAGAAGAGGGGACACATGTTGATGTAGAAGAGACATGAAGAAGAGGGGACACATGTTGATGTAGAAGAGACATGAAGAAGAGGGGACACATGTTGATGAAGAAGAGACATGAAGAAGAGGGGACACATGTTGATGTAGAAGAGACATGAAGAAGAGGGGACACATGTTGATGAAGAAGAGACATGAAGAAGAGGGGACACATGTTGATGTAGAAGAGACATGAAGAAGAGAGGACACATGTTGATGTAGGAGAGACATGAAGAAGAGGGGACACATGCTGATGTAGAAGAGACATGAAGAAGAGGGGACACATGTTGATGTAGGAGAGACATGAAGAAGAGGGGACACATGAAGAAGAGGGGACACATGTTGATGTTGAAGAGACATGAAGAAGAGGGGACACATGCTGATGTAGAAGAGACATGAAGAAGAGGGGACACATGCTGATGTAGAAGAGACATGAAGAAGAGGGGGCACATGTTGATGTAGAAGAGACATGAAGAAGAGGGGACACATGCTGATGTAGAAGAGACATGAAGAAGAGGGGACACATGCTGATGTAGAAGAGACATGAAGAAGAGGGGGCACATGTTGATGTAGAAGAGACATGAAGAAGAGACGTGAACAAGTCAATTGTGCATATAGGTGAACTTTAAATCCTGATTTAATCTTCTTAAATGTAATATGTTTTGGTTTATTTACTCATATAAACTATATAGCTTTTGAGCTGTGGAATAAACAAGACCTTTAAAAACTGAATTCTAGGCTTTTAGAAACACTTAGAAATCAACATTTTAAAGACCAAACAACTCATGGATGAATTGACAGAATCATAAAAAGCAGGGCTCAAAACTGTAGTTAAAAACACCGGACCACATTCACTGTTTATTTTTTTATTTCTTACAAAATCACAGTTTAATAAATAGTCTGTAAAAATGAGTACAAAAGCGTTTTTTTCTTAACATTTCATATATGAATCACGTGACTTTCAGGAGTCTTTAGTTGGATTTTTTGTTTTACAATCTAGTCTTGCTGAATTAAGGCCTCTTGATTTTGGCATCAGAACAATCTGTCAGTCGAATGTTTTGTATCTGAATTCGTGTAGAGTTATGATCTCCCTGGTTTCACAGTTCAGCAAGAAAATAAATGAAACACATTTACAAATAAATACTAAAATGGCTCAACACGCAGATGTCATCTTGTCCTAAAATGTTGAAAACACACATTTCTAACGTCAGTGTTTGACACAACAATGGCACATGAGGCTGCTTCAGGGGAATCCATCTTCAAATCTGTTTTTAGTTCGTCTTGAACTTCTTTTAAAGTATTAGAAAGGAGAAATAAGAGCAAACGCTGGGAAATACTTTCTAAAAAATAAAAACATTTTGCTGGAAATCCCCCTTTTTTTAAGAAGTGTGAGTGAGAGACACTCTGACATCTTTACTGCATTACACTGAAACCTCTGAGGGCGCACACACACCGAAGATCTGTATTTCTGTTGGGACAAATTCTGTCAAAACATTAAAGTGTCTGATAGTGATAACACAGATTGATACACTCTTATATCTCTCCGTTTACCACGAGAGCCAGGCTAGCAGTTTCCCTCCGTTTCCAGTGTTTATGCTAAGCTAACTAGCGGCTAAGAAACATGAGTGGTATCATCGTGTATTTCCTAAAATATCTAACTATCCTTTTTGAATCTTCTGGTGTGTGTCCACCCAAACTACCACAGAGGGTTTCAACACTACATTACTGCATATTATTACTCCTTTTGTTCTTTCCAACAGAAAGACAATTTTACATATAGAAAAATCACAAAGAAATGACAAGGCTGTTGATTTAGTCCCACAGATCTGGATGTTTTTGAATAGTTAGCAGATGTTAGTTGATTAAAACATCACATTAATGATCATTTCTTTGCAGGTTGCTTTTTCTACGGTGGCCGACGGGTGCAGACCATAGGTGCAGACGCACTCCAACGGTGGCGAAATACTTAGGAGAAATGTGCTGCAGTTTTAGAAACGATGCAAAAATAAAAACGCAAATGAGCCAAAACACAAGCGACTTGACAACACGTGCAGCATTTAGAAACATTCAGCAACTTGAAGAAACAAGCGCAGCGTTTACTAAAAGCTGCAGAAACCAAACGCTGCAAGAAGCTCAAAACACAACGGAGACCAGGGGTCACTAAAAAGTGACGCACACAGCTGGAGACCAGGGGACACTAAAAAGTGACGCACACAGCTGGGAGACCAGGGGTCACTAAAAAGTGACGCACACAGCTGGAGACCAGGGGGACACTAAAAAGTGACGCACACAGCTGGGAGACCAGGGGACACTAAAAAGTGATGCACACAGCTGGGAGACCAGGGGGACACTAAAAAGTGACGCACACAGCTGGGAGACCAGGGGGACACTAAAAAGTGACGCACACAGCTGGGAGACCAGGGGTCACTAAAAAGTGACGCACACAGCTGGGAGACCAGGGGTCACTAAAAAGGAATGCACACATCTGGGAGACCAGGGGTCACTAAAAAGTGACGCACACAGCTGGGAGACCAGGGGACACTAAAAAGTGACGCACACAGCTGGGAGACCAGGGGTCACTAAAAAGGAATGCACACAGCTGGGAGACCAGGGGTCACTAAAAAGTGACGCACACAGCTGGGAGACCAGGGGACACTAAACAGTGACGCACACAGCTGGAGACCAGGGGGACACTAAAAAGTGACGCACACAGCTGGGAGACCAGGGGACACTAAAAAGTGATGCACACAGCTGGGAGACCAGGGGGACACTAAAAAGTGACGCACACAGCTGGGAGACCAGGGGGACACTAAAAAGTGACGCACACAGCTGGGAGACCAGGGGACACTAAAAAGTGATGCACACAGCTGGGAGACCAGGGGGACACTAAAAAGTGACGCACACAGCTGGGAGACCAGGGGACACTAAAAAGTGACGCACACAGCTGGGAGACCAGGGGACACTAAAAAGTGACGCACACAGCTGGGAGACCAGGGGGACACTAAAAAGTGACGCACACAGTTGGGAGACCGTGGCCGTTTCTCAATCGCGAGGAAACTGGCTTCCAAGCCAATATTTCAAGGATACTACGTCATCTAGTGCCGCCGAAGGACTGTTCCAATCTCCAGCATACTTGGAATTCCACCGAGGCTGCGTCCTTGGTTTGGGGGTAATTTCGAGGCTGCACATGGGTAGACTTCGCGTCCTTCAAATCCCCACAATGCTTTGCGCACGGACCAATTTCAAAAACCCTTGCAGAGAATGGCCGAACCGACGCAGCACACATTTAAATGTGGCTAGAACATGTGTTGGTAAATATGTTACTTTGTTACATTTGTTATCACCAAAAATGTGTTAAAGTAAAGCAAGTTCATAATTAGATAGACATCGTGAGGTATTTATTTTCGGTACAGTTTATGTTGAAACTTGTTAGCCTGTTCCATTCTTCTTCGTTTTCCGAGGCTAGGAAGGATTCTTGCCTCGCTTCTGAAGGACCTGACTCAGAGGGACATGTAACCAAGCAAGCGTCCTCGACATTGAGAAACACCCCGAGGCCGATTCTCAATGTCGAGTAAAGCTCTATAGCAGAGCCACTATTTCAAGTATACTACGTCATCAAGTGGCGCCGAAAGCTGGGCATTTAAACTGTCCTTCGGCGCCACTCGATGACGTAGTATACTTGAAATAGTGGCTCTGGAGCAGCTTTACTCAACATTGACAAACGGCCCAGGGGACACTAAAAAGTTACGCACACAGCTGGGAGACCAGGGGACACTAAAAAGTGACGCACACAGCTAGGAGACCAGGGTGGTGACGTTCAGGATTATAAAGCTGAACAACTGTCTCTGTTGCAGTTAGTCTGTCTCATAACTGTTAGTGTTGGTCAGTATATCTGAAGGTTAGCTACGTTAGCTAGCTAGCTTACAGCAGATCTGCAGTAACATCAGAAGGAGTCATGTGATCACATTGTTAAAATAAGACCATAAAACATTTCAGGTAGAGACAGTTGACCGACTTTATCATACGTTTATATCTGTTGTTTTCTTAGCTTCTTGCAATTTAACGATTTAACGATGCGCATGTTTCCTCAAGTTGGTGAAGAATGTGTTTTGGCACATTTGTGTTTTTATATTTGTATCGTTTCTAAAACTGCAGTTTCTCCTAATGGAAGAGTTTTAGGTCGCTTCAGCTCGTTTGCACCTGTCGGCCTCCGTACATTTCCTTACAGGTACACTGAATTAACAATAGGCGCGTTCACACCGCAGTACTTTTCCCACTTTAGTTCCGATATAGTTCCGAAATGTCGCGTTCACGAACTTCACACCAAAAAAATCCGGAACTAAAATTACTTCATGAGAACCTTTTCACCCCTTTTTCCGTCCCTGCTAGAGAGCAGGGACTTTCGTGGGAGAAAAAGGTTCCTATGTCTGATTGGCTGGGCGGATTGCAAACCACACCCCGTTAAACTCCAAAAACAAAATTGAAGCCGCCATTTTATTATCCTCGCATTAGCATTAGCCCAGCGCAGAAACGCAGAGAGACTAACTTATGACAACACAAAAGAAAACATGAGAGCGATGGAGATGAGGAGGTGTCGGCGTTCTGGCGATTTACTCGGAAGGCTTCAGTAGAAGCTGCTGGGAGTCCCAGCAGCTTCTACTGAAGCCAGTCCCCAACTCCGGGGACTTCCGGCCGGGGACTCCGGGTGGCAGTATACGGCGTGAAGTGGTTTGCGGCCTGCCAGTAAACCCAAAGCAGAAGAAGAAGAAGTGACGTCAGCGGCTTCATTTGCCTAATCTTCCCTCAGGGATTTATTCCGGTGTGAACGCGATCTGTACTTAGTTCATGAGAACTAAAGAGTTCTCATGAACTAAGTGCTGATGAACCTTTGTGGGAAAAGTACTGCGGTGTGAAAGCGCCTATTAAGGCATATTCTAAACATTTTAAAATTTGCATGTCAAAACTTTGACCCCTTTAAAAAGCAAAATCTCAATTTTATATTACAAAAAATGAATTTGCAGGTTTAACTTTTTGACCTTCAAGGTAAAACCCAACGACAGAGAATATTTCCGTGACTCGTTTCAACAGAATTCACATTTTCACACGAACCAATAAGATTGTCACATTAAGATGCTGCCAAAAAACCACAGTGCTCCACAATGGCTGCGTGAAAATAAATTAAATAAATAAATAAAAGGCGTGAATGCGGATTATTCCTTTAGATTTTTTGGTCAAAGGCTGTTTGATGATGCAGAAAGGCTAGAAAATAACTGCAATATCTAAACTACACGTGTTTCGATGATAAAACAAGCTTCTCTCAATCCTGAAAAACAATCTTCCTCCTCCTCTTCCTCTTCCTCCTCTCCTACAACCATTAGTCTTTATTGCTTGCATGTTAATACATAAACTTCTCTCCCCCTTATTTCACAGTCAGACTCCAGCGTGGATCCAAAGGTTTAAAAAACACACACTAAGCACGACTGCTGAATTTCTTTTTTGAACAAAAACACAGACTCCAGTTATTGGGAAGAGACGGGCTGCTGGTGTTTTCAGGGTGAAGCAAGTCTTTGGAGTTTCATTCTATAAGCCGAGACGATGGAGCCTGCGGGATTTAGCAGGATGTTTTCACACACACACACACACACACACACACACACACACACACACACACACACACACACACACACACACACACACACACACACACACACACACACACACACACACACACACAAACACACACACACACACACACACACACACATACACTGGCACAGATTATCAAAATAAATACCCTGGAAGCTTGGCACTAAAGAAACTTCACTTTTGAAAGAAATCTTATAAAAAACTATTGAATAATCTCAGACTACTCCTGTGTGTCCTCACTATATTCTGTCTGCCGATGAAGGTCACACCAATGTCGTAAAAACCTCTGAAGGACCAAACTACCACTGAAACCATAGAGCTTTTTTCCACAAGTGCACATCTAAAAGAAGTATGTAACATGTGAGCTGCCGTCTCTTCATAGCGCCTCTTTTTCTTTCACACAATCTAGTCTAGTTGCCAGCACTGTGAACTCAGAGATGTTGAGTACCCCAAAGTTTTATGTCAGAAATGTACAGTACGGGTCCCCAGCACGTAGAAGCTGCCGGATGCTAACTTGCATGTGTTGGGCAATTCGCACACAACAAGCAAGCAAGTTGCATTAATGGCATTATAGCCGATGTGGACTACAGTTAACAAATGGCTTGTCCGGTTTGGACAATTTTGGAATGGTGGTGGGGGTTATTGAGGATACTGAATCAATTTTTAGCATAAAAAATGGCAGTTTTAATCAGAAATTGGCCATATTTGTACTCTCAATGGGCTGATTTTGACTACCATGAGTAGTGTTGCGAGCATTGGATATGGAGAGAACAAGATGATTATTATCTGTCCAATCCAAACGATCCAGAGTCCACTAAAACTTCCACATCGACATCAATATTCATCAAAATCAGCCCCTAGGGACTACAAATATGGCCTCTTTCTGGTTAATACCGCCAATGGATCCAAAAGGAAATGGACTCAGCATTTTCAATAATCGCCAAAACCACTGCATATGCTAATTAACACAACTTGTGCTAATTGTGCAAATTGGCCAACATATGCAAGTTAGCATCCGGCAGTTTCCATGAGCTTGGGACTCGTACTATACATTTCTACCATAAAACGTTGGGGTACTCCGCATTTCTGGGTCCAGGACTCTACGATCTGACAAACGGACCAATCAGTGACCTCTGGGGGTCAGACTGAAACTCCTCTCTGTGAGTCTCTCTACCTCACAGCTGCAGAGCGCTGCTGACCCTCTGGTCCAGGCAGGGGCCCGGCGGGGGGGCTCCTGAGGGCCCCTGCAGGCGCTGCAGCTCCAGGATGCTGTCGATGGCGCTCTGCAGGTGTTCGTTCAGCAGGGGGTCCTCCTGCAGCGGGCGAGGGAGGGGGGCGTCCGGACGGGAGCATTTTACCTTCGGGGCGTTGACTTCTCTGTGAGGAGAGCCTTTAATCTGCGGTGTGGAGAGAGGTTTTAGTTTGGAATCTGTGTCAGGGATATCCTCTGGAGGGTGGGCTCCGTTAGGGGTCTCCTGGGGGGCCAGAAGAGGAGGGTGAGGGCCCAGAAGAGGAGGGTGAGGGCCCAGAAGAGGAGGGTGGGGGCCCGGAAAAAGAGGGTGGGGGCCCCCGTTGATCAGCTGCCCCTTGTGGTCCCGTTTGAGGCCCTGTTCGCAGGCGGAGTTGTGCACCACCTTCCTGGAGCCGGACTCGTGCTTGATGGTGAGTCTGAGGGCCCCGCGGGAGCTGGAGCGGTACGTCTTCAGACCCGGTGGCCGATCCGAGAGCCGGGGCCAGGAGGCTGGGGGGGAGGAAGGGGGGAGGGAAGACGAGGAGGGGGTCATGGCCGACAGGAAGGACTCTGCAGGGACAGGAAGCAGGAGGTCAAACACACTTTAAAGTTCTCCTATTATACTGTTTTTCATCAATATATCATAGGTCTCAGATATATCCAGAACCTGTCTCTGATTGGCTGAAACACCAAACAGATCATTGCAGCATTACCCATAATCCCCTCTGTTTCAGCCCTGTTTCAAAAGTGCTGATTCTCTGTCTGTTACTTTCGATGAAAAGAAGGAGCCCCTCCCCACGCCCCTCTGAGAGAGATTTGGTTAAAAAGAACACAATAGCCGCTTTCACACCAAGTACTTAGCCAGTACTTGTCCCCGGTACTTGTTCCCCCCGAACTCTTTAGTCCCTGGAACTGTCCTAGTAGATCGCGTTCTCACCGGAAATAAGGCCCCGTCCACACGGAGACGAAACCGATTTTGAACCAAAGTCAATTTCAAAAAAGTCTTCCGTCCAAACGAAACCGCTGGAGACGCTGTAGTACATATGCAAGTGGCGCCACAAAATATACCAAAAGCAGCGAATAAGACCCCCGAGCATGGGCATAAGGCATAAACAAACAAACAAGGTAGAAGATGGCGGATATTAGTGCAAGAAGGTAGCGTCTGGAGCACGAACGCAACCCTGTGATCCGCCATTGTTGTTGGCGAAACGCATCAGCAATGACGCGGGGGTGAGCAGGAGAGGCGGGGCTATGGCGTCATCGATTCAGGAAAATATCGTATAGGGGCGTACACACGGAGCCGCAAGCGTGTCGTGTCCAGACTTACCCACTGGGAGCCGGTTTCAAAGTTTATCGGTTTCGGAGCGGCTCCGTTTCGGTTGCGTGTGGACGTCTCTATACGATAAAGAACTTTAGCGGATACAACTGAAATCATCTCCGTGTGGACGGGGCCTAAGTCCCAGAGGGAGGATTAGGCAAATGAAGCTGCATTTATCTGTGACTTTCTGTTTGTGTAAGAATGTGTGTGTGTGTGTGTGTGTGTGTGTGTGTGTGTGTGTGTGTGTGTGTGTGTGTGTGTGTGTGTGTGTGTGTGTGTGAGGGGGGGGGTCAGTGAATCAGAGTGGCAGGTAACGTTTTACTGGGCGTGGTTTGCAATTCGCCCTGCCAATCAGAAATTGTTAGCGTGGCCGACACACCCACGAACCATTTACTCCCCAGGAAAGTAGGCTACTAACTCTACTAGGATCTGGGGGTGAAAAAGTTTGCGCGAACTAGGGTCTAGGCCCAGATCCCTTTTGGTGTGAAGCCAAATCTCTCCCACTTATCAGCGTAGTCCGGTGTGAAAGCGCCTATTGGTGCTCTAGGAGGAGATTCAGGTGATAAGGTGTGGGGGGGGGGGGGGGGGGGGGTTACCTTGGTTGCTGATTGGCTAATGGTTACACAAGACCAAACATCGTTATGACATCATAAAGTGGCCAAAATCTGATCAGCTCATTTTCAGACAGGTTTTTATAGAAATGGATCAAAAAGAGAGAGAATCTTTGTTCCTGAAACTTTCAGAGTCTCTTTCCACAGAGGGGACACATGTTGATGTAGAAGAGACATGAAGAAGAGGAGACACATGTTGATGTAGAAGAGACATGAAGAAGAGGGGACACATGTTGATGTAGAAGAGACATGGAGAAGAGGGGACACATGTTGATGTAGAAGAGACATGGAGAAGAGGGGACACATGTTGATGTAGAAGAGACATGAAGAAGAGGGGACACATGTTGATGTAGAAGAGACATGAAGAAGAGGGGACACATGTTGATGTAGAAGAGACATGGAGAAGAGGGGACACATGTTGATGTAGAAGAGACATGAAGAAGAGGGGACACATGTTGATGTAGAAGAGACATGAAGAAGAGGGGACACATGTTGATGTAGAAGAGACATGAAGAAGAGGGGACACATGTTGATGTAGAAGAGACATGAAGAAGAGGGGACACATGTTGATGTAGAAGAGACATGGAGAAGAGGGGACACATGTTGATGTAGAAGAGACATGGAGAAGAGGGGACACATGTTGATGTAGAAGAGACATGAAGAAGAGGGGACACATGTTGATGTAGAAGAGACATGAAGAAGAGGGGACACATGTTGATGTAGAAGAGACACGAAGAAGAGGGGACACATGTTGATGTAGAAGAGACACGAAGAAGAGGGGACACATGTTGATGTAGAAGAGACACGAAGAAGAGGGGACACATGTTGATGTAGAAGAGACATGAAGAAGAGGGGACACATGTTGATGTAGAAGAGACATGAAGAAGAGGGGACACATGTTGATGTAGAAGAGACATGAAGAAGAGGGGACACATGTTGATGTAGAAGAGACATGAAGAAGAGGGGACACATGTTGATGTAGAAGAGACATGAAGAAGAGGGGACACATGTTGATGTAGAAGAGACATGGAGAAGAGGGGACACATGTTGATGTAGAAGAGACATGAAGAAGAGGGGACACATGTTGATGTAGAAGAGACATGAAGAAGAGGGGACACATGTTGATGTAGAAGAGACACGAAGAAGAGGGGACACATGTTGATGTAGAAGAGACACGAAGAAGAGGGGACACATGTTGATGTAGAAGAGACACGAAGAAGAGGGGACACATGTTGATGTAGAAGAGACATGAAGAAGAGGGGACACATGTTGATGTAGAAGAGACACGAAGAAGAGGGGACACATGTTGATGTAGAAGAGACATGAAGAAGAGGGGACACATGTTGATGTAGAAGAGACACGAAGAAGAGGGGACACATGTTGATGTAGAAGAGACATGAAGAAGAGGGGACACATGTTGATGTAGAAGAGACACGAAGAAGAGGGGACACATGTTGATGTAGAAGAGACACGAAGAAGAGGGGACACATGTTGATGTAGAAGAGACACGAAGAAGAGGGGACACATGTTGATGTAGAAGAGACATGAAGAAGAGGGGACACATGTTGATGTAGAAGAGACATGAAGAAGAGGGGACACATGTTGATGAATGAAGAAGTGGATTTTGCATAATAGGTGACCTTTAAGAGAAGTTTTAATGTATCTTATCTCTTATATTTTATTACTTTTACTACATTTGAACAGTGTGGTATAAGTACTTTTACTCAAGTAATAAAACCACTGATTAAAACATATTTTCATACACAGCTGTAATAATAAAGTGTGTGTCTGTGTGTACTGACCGGGGTCTCTGCGGACCCTCCGTCTGTCCTCCACTAACGCACATCGCTCGGCCTGAAGGAACAGACGCTCCAACATCACCATCTCTGCAGACGGACTCTCCTGCTGCGGGGACACACACACACACACACACACACACACACACACACACACACACACACACACACACACACACACACACACACACACACACACACACACACACACACACACACACACACACACACACACACACACACACACACACACACACACACACACAAAGATCTAGATTTGCTCCAAACAGTCCTCAGAAACCTAATCTGTTATACGACAGTGTGTTAGGTCGAAATAAAGTATCCATCGAGGTTTGTTGAGATTAGAGAGGTAAATTAACAAAACAAAAACTAGAATATCTTGAGATTATAAACTCATACATTGCAAGAAAAAGAGATTCAATTGGGACATGTACAGTTTGTGTTCAGAGGTAGAAGAAGAAAGCTTTTTATAATTTCTCACCCATAAAGTGCATATATAAAGGTCTCACCTGAGCCTCTCTGACCAGCAGCTGCCTGTATTTGTTCACCATGTCCTTGGTGCGTTTCAGCAGGAAACCTGACACCGTTTCAAACTCCTGATCCACTGAGAGCACACAAACATCTCCAGTCACAAAAACATTCTGAATCTGGAGAATTTCCCGAGCTAGTATCTTCATCAAGACACATCAAGTATGTATGTGACTGAATTATCATTTAAGTCATTCATTAGGAACCTAAAGGTCCCCTATGATTCTGTTTGTCATCAATATATCACAGGTCTCAGATATATCCAGAACCTGTCTCTGATTGGCTGAAACACCAAACAGATCATTGCAGCATCCCATAATCCCCTCTGTTTCAGCCCTGTTTCCAAAGTGCTGATTCTCTGAAAAAGAACTCAATGGTGCTCTAGGAGGAGATTCAGGTGATAAGGGGGGGGGGGTTACCTTGGTTGCTGATTGGCTAATGGTTACACAAGACCAAACATCGTTATGACATCATAAAGTGGCCAAAATCTGATCAGCTCATTTTCAGACAGGTTTTTATAGAAATGGATCAAAAAGAGAGAGAATCTTTGTTCCTGAAACTTTCAGAGTCTCTTTCCACAGAGGAGACACATGTTGATGTAGAAGAGACATGAAGAAGAGGGGACACATGTTGATGTAGAAGAGACATGAAGAAGAGGCGACACATGTTGATGTAGAAGAGACGTGAAGAAGAGGGGACACATGTTGATGTAGAAGAGACGTGAAGAAGAGGGGACACATGTTGATGTAGAAGAGACGTGAAGAAGAGGGGACACATGTTGATGTAGATGAGACGTGAAGAAGAGGCGACACATGTTGATGTAGAAGAGACGTGAAGAAGAGGGGACACATGTTGATGTAGAAGAGACATGAAGAAGAGGGGACACATGTTGATGTAGAAGAGACATGAAGAAGAGGGGACACATGTTGATGTAGAAGAGACGTGAAGAAGAGAGGACACATGTTGATGTAGAAGAGACATGAAGAAGAGGCGACACATGTTGATGTAGAAGAGACATGAAGAAGAGGGGACACATGTTGATGTAGAAGAGACATGAAGAAGAGGGGACACATGTTGATGTAGAAGAGACATGAAGAAGAGGGGACACATGTTGATGTAGAAGAGACATGGAGAAGAGGGGACACATGTTGATGTAGAAGAGACATGGAGAAGAGGGGACACATGTTGATGTAGAAGAGACATGGAGAAGAGGGGACACATGTTGATGTAGATGAGACACGAAGAAGAGGGGACACATGTTGATGTAGAAGAGACATGAAGAAGAGGGGACACATGTTGATGTAGAAGAGACATGAAGAAGAGGGGACACATGTTGATGTAGAAGAGACATGAAGAAGAGGGGACACATGTTGATGTAGAAGAGACATGAAGAAGGAGATTTTGCATAATAGGTGACCTTTAAGTTACCAGCTGCTGTCCCTATTTTAGACACATGGTTCATTTTGAAGAGACAGCAAAGGCTATATGTGTTTATACATGTTTAAATCCTTGTCCCCAGCCGCTCCCTGACCTGTGTTGAAGTGCTGCTGAGTCGGCAGCTCTCCGGCGCAGCAGTGGAACGGCAGCAGGCGAGAGACGGCGTCCTGCAACGAGGGGAAGCCCGGCCCGGAGAGAGAGGCCTGAACCGAGGCCTGGTCCGAACACAACCGCTGCTGGAACCTGGAGAGAAACACAGAAACACAGTGAGATCAACTGGGACCTGCAGACTGGTGAGGTGATGCAACACGGCATCGACACATAACATACATAAAGTCGTGTAGGATTAAAGGATAAAAGTCAAAGTCAACTCTATTGTCAATCTTCCAGTTTGTGTGTACAGAGAGAGAGATCGGAATACTGTTTCCCACAATCCCGAATATAAAAACAAATGTATATAAAAATATGTATATCCTATATATACACAGACAAAGACACATTTTTACATGACCTAAATAAAAACACAACAATCATATGTACAAAATAACAGTCACTTCAATATTTGAGAATGTACATTAGTGCAAGACTGTCCATAGCAGCGTAAAAAGTGTCTGGATTTGAGTGTCTGAGTGTGTGGGCTTTAAAAAATAAAAACATTTAATTAACAGAAGAAGATTTAATTAAAACATAATAATAATGAATGATTCTTATGTTTTTCTTTTTTACTTTGAAATCATGTATGAAAGCTCTCTAGAAATAAAGTGTATTATTATTATATGAATAGTCCTCTCACCGGTGCCTGCGTGTTGCTGGTGTGAGATTCTCTCTCTGTGGAAGATCTGCAGGCTGACAGAAAACAAACACTTTTTATTAAAAACTAACTTTTGCATGTACATTCATTGTGTTTTAAGTTTGCCAAATATTAAGTTAAGTATTTCAATGTATTTCTATTTTTAAAATAGTCTAAGTGTGGGATGCACTGATGAGCTATATTCAATAAAGGTAATAAATATAATGTAATAATATCTCTTTTTTTAAGTTGAATGATTTCATCGCCCTGCTGACAGAGTGTCTCCTCTGTTTCTCACCTTGGTGCAGGTCTGCAGGCTCCTCAGGGTGGGGGTCCGCTCTCTGGGCTCTGGGGGCCCCTGACCCTGACCATGACCCCAGGCTGCAGGAGATGATGGCTGGAGAGAAAACGCTTCAGGCTCCACGAGCAAGGCAGCTGTTGGCTCTGCAGAGACACAGTGATGGTGATTATATTACAGATTACATGGAAGTCATCGGAATACTTTAGTAAGCACTTTTAATATAAAAACTAACAGCATTAGTTAGAATGAAAAAATGCCATATTTTGAGGTGAGTAAATAATAAAATGTTAATGTTCTGGTCAGTTTTGAGAGTTTCACTAAGTTGCAATTTGTCTTGGTGATATCCATTACATGCTTTACGCTCCACACCTGTAGCGTCCCCCCTTGAAGACCTCATGTGATCAGGTAATCATTGAGAGAGTAACTTTAGTCTAGTTTCATATTTACTAAGATGTTAGCTTGCTTGTTTATTGTTTGTCATTTGATTGCGTAATCCCGATGGCATGTACTGATACTCACTGTGTTGTGTGTGCTGTTGGACAGGGGGGGGGTCTCCTCCTGTGGAGAGACCTGAAGACGGGGGATCAGGCTGGGGGGGGGACGGAGGCTGGGAGACAGAGGACTGGACCTGCTTCTGGTTCTGGGGAAACGAGGCCTGTGAGACATGGATCTGGATCTGGTCTGAACTCTGAGGTGGGACGAGGGGAGAGAAACTTTGCCCCTCTGCGTCCTGAAGTGGGGAGGGGGGGAGGCTGAGAGACGTGTCTTCGGGGTCGAGGGGGATCGGAGAAGCTTCCAGGTTCTGGACCGCGGGGTCCTGGCTCTGGGGGGGGGTCTCTCTGTCCGGGGAGGAGAGGGTCTCCATCGGCAGGTCTGCAGCCAATAGCTCAGAGGAGAGAGGGGGGCTCAGAGCAGCCTGTGGAGGAGAGACACATTTTCTACACTTAACATAGCTTTTCTTTATCTATCTGAAACCTTAATATGTTCACTTACCTATTTCAATTGATGCTACTAATTTTTTAGACATGGATGTCTTGATCTTTAGTTTAATTTTCTCTACTTAACATGTTAGCTACTTTCTGTATGCAGCTGCTGTCGAGTGTATGTTGTTGTACGTTGCAGCCTGCTTTATTGTTTTTTCAAAGTTTCTGTCAGCCAAATAATGCCTGTTTCTCTTTTTTCACTATGGTAAGAATGTATTCATTGAATCATTGTCTGCATGCATTTCATTTGTTAAAGTACAAGACAAGACAACGGATATACTTTAATGTAAAAATCATATTTATGTGAAAAGAAAAAGCAAGAAATATAAATAATAAATCAATTAGAATCAAATAATTAATAATAACAAAATAACACAATAAAGAATGATATTATTAATAGTATAGAATAGTATACAAAATAAGTTGGAATAACTAGAATAAAAATAAAAGGAAATAAAAAAATACATAAAATAAGTACTAACAATGATGACAGTATTTACATGTTTAAACTGTTAAGGGACCAAAGAGCTTGTCATAAGAGATCTCCTCCCCTTAAAGACCAAATATAGAAAACACGAGAGGTACTTTACCTAAATATCCAAATCAGATCAGTATGAAGTGTTAGGGCTCTGACCTGTTGCAGATGTTGGATAAAGGCCTCGTTCTGACTCATGAGGGGGGTCGCCTCCTCCTCTAAGGTGGTCACATCTATGGGGGGCATCAGGAGTTTCTCCTCAGCCGGGTGGGGGGGCAGCGGGGCTTCAGAGGGGGGCTGCAGGACGGTGATTGCAGGAGGGGGGGGGGACTGCAGTTCTGCAGGTGGGGGCTGCACCGTCACCGGCTGCAGGACCTGAAGGAAAACAAGCATCAGTGTTTATGTAAAATATGGGCAGCAGTGCATCATGATTTAACTGTATTATACGTTTTTTATTATATTAGAGTGAACATATTTTGAGTTTTGGACTGACGAGATACTTAAAGGTGGGGTAGGTAAGAATGGAGAAACCAGTTTGAGTGCGCTAGAATTTGAAAATACACAGCCGGAATAAATCTGCCACTTCCTTCAGACTTCCTCACAGAGCCCCTCCTCCAACACACACGAACGCGCACATGACCAATGAGGGCACGAGATGAGTTTGTGCCCAGATGGAAGGCTGACAGGCAGGTAGGCCATCCAGTTACTTTAGCCGGGCCGGCTCAGATGATTGGTCGTGCTTTTTACAGCGCCACGGCTTCCACAGATGACATATTTGTATGGATTTTATGTCAAAGCACTTAATGTATTCATTGCTATCGGGATGTTAAGAGCATTCCATGGAATATAACAAAAAGTGTATCTTGAGCCGGTTTCTCAAACTTACCTACCCCACCTTTAAGACATCACCTTGGACTTTTGACTAAAGGTGCCATTAAAGGTGGCCACATCAACCAGCTCTGACCAGCTCCTAGGTCTACCCCTCGGTCTCTTCCCAGCTGGACGTGCCTGGAACACCTCCCTAGGGAGGCGCCCAGGTGGCATCCTAACTAGGTGCCCGAACCACCTCAACTGGCTCCTTTCGACGCGAAGGAGGAGCGGTTCATGACTGAACTTCTCACCTTATCCCTAAGGGAGACGCCAGCCACCCTGCGGAGAAAACCCATCTCGGCCGCTTGTATCCGCGATCTCGTTCTTTCGGTCATGACCCATCCTTCATGACCATAGGTGAGGGTAGGAACGAAAATGGCCCGGTAGACAGAGAGCTTTGCCTTCTGGCTCAGCTCCCTTTTCGTCACAACGGTGCGGTAAAGAGACTGCAGTACCGCTCCCGCTGCTCCGATTCTCCGGCCCATCTCACGCTCCATTGTTCCCTCACTCGAGAACAAGACCCCGAGATACTTGAACTCCTTCACTTGGGGTAAGGACTCATTCCCTACTTGGAGTGGACAGTCCATCGGTTTCCTGCTGAGAACCATGGCCTCAAATTTGGAGGTGCTGATCCTCATCCCAGCTGCTTCACACTCGGCTGCGAACCGATCCAGTGAGAGCTGAAGGTCGCAGACCGATGAAGCCATTAGAACCACATCATCCCCGCCGCGGCTTCGGCAATAGAGGCTTTGAACACCGCCCACTCTGGTTCAATGTCCCCAGCCTGCACAGGGATGCCAGATGGTGATCAGTTGACAACTCCGCTCCTCTCTTTACCCGAGTGTTCAAAACATACAGCCTCAGGTCCGATGATACGATAACAAAATCGATCATGGACCTTCTGCCTAGGGTGCTCTGGTACCACGTACACTTATGAGCATCCTTATGTTCGAACATGGTGTCTGTTATGGCCAATCCATGCACAGAAGTCCATTAACAAACCACCACTCCGGTTCAGATCAGGGGGGCCGTTCCTCCCAATCACGCCCCTCCAAGTGTCTCCATCATTGCCCAGGTGTGCGTTGAAGTCTCCCAGCAAGACTAAGGAGTCCCCTTCAGGAGCCCCATACAGGACTCTTTTCAGGGTCTCCAAGAAGGCAGAATACTCTGACATGTGTAGCAAAATCAATGTGAACTACTAAAGGAACATCAGCATGTAATTATTTGTTCTGACCTGTAGGATCTGCTGCAGCGTCTCCTCGGGGCCCCTCTCCTCCTGCACCGCTCTCTCAGGCAGCACCACCACAGAGGCCTGCTGCCGGCTCAGGGGCCCCTCGGTCTGTAGAGCAGGGGCCCGGGCAGCAAAGGGCCGCCCCTGCACCACCGAGGGTCCGTTAACAATGGAGATGGAGGTGAGGTCGGGGGGAAGAACTCCTGAACTGTTGATCAGGGTGATGTGGTTCCCGAGCGCCGGGCCGTGGACCAGGGTGCTGCACGGCCCCCCCGCAGCGTAGGCCCCCGGCATCTGGAAGACAGTCGGGGCCCCTGACTGCAGCTGTAAGGGTCCGGAAAGAACCTGCCGGAGCGCCAGCTGACCTGCAGGGGAGGTGAAGCTGAAGTTCAGCTGCCGGGGGGGCACCGTGAGGATCTGAGGGGTGGAGGTGGGGGGCACCGTGAGGATCTGAGGGCCACCGGCGGAGGACCCCAGCAGGGGCCGAGCTGCATGTTGGGAGATAGTGACGGGGGCCCGGCCCTGGAGAAGGTACTGGTTCTGGCCTTGGAAGATGTGAGGCTGCAGCAGGAAGGATCCGGGGTTCACCAGCTGCAGGCTCAGCTGTTTGGGGAGGTGGGGCTGCGGGGGGGCCACAGGCTTCTGAGGGGGGGGGGAGAGTACGATGTTGGGTGAGGCAGCCCCGGGGACGAAGGTGAGACTCGGAGCCTGATTCTGTTTCTGTTTCTGCCCCGGTTGTTTTGGGCTGATCTGGACCAGACGGGGCTGGATGCTGACTGGCAGCTTGGACTGGATGAGGAGGGGGACAGGGGCCCTCAGGAGGGGGGTGGGGAGGGGCCGGGGGATGGCCCTGTGGAGGATCATGGAGCTCAGAGAGAAGGTCTCGGGGAAAACGTTCCCAGGCAGGAGCCCCATCAGCTGGGCGGCCGGCTTCAGGGAGGGACAGCCGGGCCCCACAGCCAGCAGGGAGGGCTGGGGGGGGTCCACCGCTGCCTGGGTGTCCCTGGGTATGAAGGGGGGCGAGTACAGCGACAGGTTATCCCCCCCGGGATCCAGAGCCATGGTCTGCTCCGTGATCTGGGCCTCCTGGAGGCTCTGCTGCAGGATGTCACACTGCACCCCCCCCTTCTTCCCCTCATATCCAGTCTGCACAGGTGTCGTCCCCCCCAGCTCCTCCTCGGGGTCCTCCTCACCCTCCGGAGAGGACAGGAGCGCCTCCTCCAGGAAGGACAGATCCACACAGCCGGGGGGGGGCGAGTCCGGGGGGTCGCTGCCATCTCCAAGCAGAGAGCCGGGGCTCTGCAGGATGAGGAGGAGGATAATATTTTATAAACATAGTTTTATAAGTAAATATAAGTCAAATGTGCAATAAATAAAATGTTGACAATTTGATAAAAATATTTTTGTAATCATAAGAAAAAATTGCAATACGAACACAAAATACATTATAATAAAGTATAAATTATTAACAAGAGCAGTTACGTAATAATGTGCGCTTTGTACTATAATATCAATAAATATGTATCTTTGTATAACAATTGGTAGTGAATGAGTATTAATAAAGATACCGATGTAAACCAGAGGTATTACAGCTAAGGTTTTCTATCTATCGCTCATTTGGATCTGTTTTTTATTTCGGTATTATATTTCTGAAATAACATTTGTCAGTTTCCTGGCACAGAATCAGAAATCAAGTCCTCTCCCGGGACAGAAGCAGGTTGTGGTGACGCTGCTGTCTGGATCTAACTCACCGGGGCGTCTGTGAAGAGTGAACCCCCCCCAGAGGAGGAGTTAATGAGCAGGTCTTCAGTCTGCAGCTGGGGGAGGAAATCAGACGTTTGGGTGAGAAATGATCGCAGTATTACGTTACAACTCTCTTTCACATCTTCCCAGCGCCAGCCCTCCTTTTCACACGGCGGCGGGCCAAGAAATATCCCATCTCCAATTCTTCATTTGCACTTATTGATTTCTTTATTTGAGTCGCTCTCTATTTAACTCTCCTCTGTTACCTCATTGGTGCCATAAAGGAAGTCGTTCAGGGCTTGGGGGTCACTGCGAACACAGAGAGAAGTCAGAGTAAAGATCTGTTTCTGTGCAAACTAAGGATTAAGAGGACATTAGACCACATTCAATCCTATATAACTAAATAATAATAAATACTTATGAATGATGTTCAGACAGACTTACCACAAAACATCAAGTAGACAAGTCCCATCTTCATCCTCCATGTCAACTGAGAATCCAATCATATTTTAATCATTTGAAAAAAGGATAATTCAGCATTAAACACATATTTACTGTTAATATGGCTGCAAATAACATTTTATATTTTTTGGGTTTAAGTTATCATTCCAATAACAACATGCTGCTTTTTCAAGTTTAAAGAGTCCTCTCCTGCTGATGTTCAGGTGTATATCAGTATGTAGTGTCTCTACTTTAAAGAGTCCTCTCTTGCTGATGTTCAGGTGTATATCAGTATGTAGTGTCTCTACTTTAAAGAGTCCTCTCTTGCTGATGTTCAGGTGTATATCAGTATGTAGTGTCTCTACTTTAAAGAGTCCTCTCCTGCTGATGTTCAGGTGTATATCAGTATGTAGTGTCTCTACTTTAAAGAGTCCTCTCCTGCTGATGTTCAGGTGTATATCAGTATGTAGTGTCTCTACTTTAAAGAGTCCTCTCTTGCTGATGTTCAGGTGTATATCAGTATGTAGTGTCTCTTCTTTAAAGAGTCCTCTCCTGCTGATGTTCAGGTGTATATCAGTATGTAGTGTCTCTACTTTAAAGAGTCCTCTCTTGCTGATGTTCAGGTGTATATCAGTATGTAGTGTCTCTACTTTAAAGAGTCCTCTCTTGCTGATGTTCAGGTGTATATCAGTATGTAGTGTCTCTACTTTAAAGAGTCCTCTCCTGCTGATGTTCAGGTGTATATCAGTATGTAGTGTCTCTACTTTAAAGAGTCCTCTCTTGCTGATGTTCAGGTGTATATCAGTATGTAGTGTCTCTACTTTAAAGAGTCCTCTCCTGCTGATGTTCAGGTGTATATCAGTATGTAGTGTCTCTACTTTAAAGAGTCCTCTCCTGCTGATGTTCAGGTGTATATCAGTATGTAGTGTCTCTACTTTAAAGAGTGCTCTCCTGCTGATGTTCAGGTGTATATCAGAATGTAGTGTCTCTACTTTAAAGAGTCCTCTCCTGCTGATGTTCAGGTGTATATCAGTATGTAGTGTCTCTACTTTAAAGAGTCCTCTCCTGCTGATGTTCAGGTGTATATCAGTATGTAGTGTCTCTACTTTAAAGAGTCCTCTCTTGCTGATGTTCAGGTGTATATCAGTATGTAGTGTCTCTACTTTAAAGAGTCCTCTCCTACTGATGTTCAGGTGTATATCAGTATGTAGTGTCTCTACTTTAAAGAGTCCTCTCCTGCTGATGTTCAGGTGTATATCAGTATGTAGTGTCTCTACTTTAAAGAGTGCTCTCCTGCTGATGTTCAGGTGTATATCAGTATGTAGTGACTCTACTTTAAAGAGTCCTCTCCTGCTGATGTTCAGGTGTATATCAGTATGTAGTGTCTCTACTTTAAAGAGTCCTCTCCTGTTGATGTTCAGGTGTATATCAGTATGTAGTGTCTCTACTTTAAAGAGTCCTCTCCTGCTGATGATCAGGTGTATATCAGTATGTAGTGTCTCTACTTTAAAGAGTCCTCTCCTGCTGATGTTCAGGTGTATATCAGTATGTAGTGTCTCTACTTTAAAGAGTCCTCTCCTGTTGATGTTCAGGTGTATATCAGTATGTAGTGTCTCTACTTTAAAGAGTCCTCTCCTGCTGATGTTCAGGTGTATATCAGTATGTAGTGTCTCTACTTTAAAGAGTCCTCTCCTGCTGATGTTCAGGTGTATATCAGTATGTAGTGTCTCTACTTTAAAGAGTCCTCTCCTGCTGATGTTCAGGTGTATATCAGTATGTAGTGTCTCTACTTTACAGAGTCCTCTCCTGCTGATGTTCAGGTGTATATCAGTATGTAGTGTCTCTACTTTAAAGAGTCCTCTCCTGCTGATGTTCAGGTGTATATCAGTATGTAGTGTCTACTTTATAGTCTTTCATGTGTTGGAGCGCCTGCCAATAGGAGCGCAAGTGTTACATAGTGATGTCACTATGTTAGGGAAGTAAACAAAGTTCCAAGAGCCTGAGGAGCCATTTTTAAACTGCTCTATGTTGCTGACCAACAATCCAAAAAGCAGAGGAATTCAATTTACAATGGTATAAAACTGAGAAAAGTGTAAATTTTTCAGTATGAAAACATAAAATAAAGGTTAGTCTCAGGACAGGAATCAGTGGACATTTTAAATATAAACAAAGATTTAATTTCCACCCACTCTACTCTCTCATTCATGTTTTCTCTCCCTCACAGTGTGAATGGACCTACTTCATAAGTGAGAGGCTCCATACAGAGCGGCAGCGCGGAGAGCTGGTGGCGGCCTCATGGGAGGAGGTGGCCGGGGAGGGCTGCTGCCAGGCCCGGGTCCTCCCCCCTCTGCTGCGGGGACATCGCTGCTGCTGCTGGGCACGGTGGATGGGGAGCCTGCAGGTGAGGGGGAGGAAATGATGGAGTGGGGGGGGGGGGCACAAACACCACATGCTGTCAGCAGGTCACTTGAGTTTACCACAGCCCAAACACGGTGAGACACTACATCGATCAATACATCCGGTTTCTCCAGACATATCTCATCATATTGACGGGGGAAATGAGAGCTATTGTTGCAGACATGTTCTGTAAACAACACCTCCCCCCCCCCCCCCTCCCATGCGTCTTGGATGTGTGCTTCCTCATGGCTGAAAGCAATGTGTTCAACCCAGCATTACGCACTGTTTTGCGCACATTTAGCAGGGGAGGTGCTTTGCAAAAACAGACAATCCTCCTGCTCCTTCCCCGCTGCTACTGACACATTTCTGTTTACACCACGACCCCCGCATTGACACCCTCCAGGTGCCCGCATCGCCCAATGAGATCCAGCAGAACGACCCTCATCCATGAAGCTGCAGCATGGAGCAGGGTGCATCTGTAGGTTACGTAAGGTGACTGTGTCCATGTGAGATTAACGCTCCAAACGGTGCAGGATGCCGCTGTTTCTGCTGCTGTTTATGATTATCTGCGAGACTGTGTGAGAGAGAGAGTGTGTGTCTGTCGTCTGCTGTAAATCAAATCGCGCTAACAAAAGATGCCTTGTGATAAATATGATTTCCACGCTGCCATTCCCCTTCATCGTTAAGAGTAATTCCGCAATTGAGAAAAAACAAAGCGAGAGGAGGGAAGAGGAGAGAAAAACTCACCCCTTCTTTGTGGTTTATTGTCCTGTCAAGCGGGCCTCTGCGCCATCGATTCTCACTCAGCGGTCCTTTCAGATGCTAAAGGATAGAGGGGGAGGTGGGGGGTGTAGGAGGAGGAAGAGGAGGAGGAGGGGGGTACCAGGGTGGGTGTGAGAAACAGACTGGGAGAGCCCGTCATAACACAAAAGGTGGTATAAAAAAAAAATAGTACCGTGAGGAGGCTATGCATGAGAGGAGGCTGGCCGAGGAGGGAGCTCCTTAGGCGGCGAAAGTCTTCAAATGTCCCGCTCTTCAGTGTGGAGCTCTTTCATCCAGATGTTTTTTAGGTGCGTTTTATTGATTTGTTTCTGTTGTGCCCTCAAGGCAACTGTAAATAGTTTCTCAGGCAGACTTGTTGAAATCAATATTTAGAGACGAGCCAATGGGCAGGAAGACTGCAAGCACATTGATCCCTAACTATAACGTTATTTTATTGTAATCCCTTAATCTATTTGGAAAGCCCAGAAAACGAAATATTTTCTCCATATCAAAACAATCAATACAGTGGTCAATAACCCAGTTGGAAGAATTGAGCGGAAAATGACAAGCTGAACTTTTTTTTTAGAGCGATTTGTTGCCATTAAAAGCATATTTCACATTTTGAACATGGTGCTTGAAAAAAAGAAAAGCACTAAAGAATCTCTAGAGAAATATAATTTCATAGATATTTAAATATTCCAGGAAATTAAACTCGTTTACCAGGCAGTCAAATCAAAATAGTACTTTTCTTCAAGCTATTCAAGAGATAAACAGAAACATGGAGAAATTAGGAATATAGAAAAAGACAATATAGAGGATAGAAGGAATACATTGGGCCCAATAAGAAAAAGAGACACTTTCATTATTTAAACGAAATCTTTATTAATAAGGCAAACATTAAAATACAAAATGCACCTCCGGATTCATGAGAAAAAAACCTTTTAAAAAACTTGTGAGAACACGTCACTTGAACAGCAGTTACAGAACAGAGGCGTCACTTGGCCGCCTGCTGGGCCTGGCGACGCAGCAGCACGTAGATCTTCTCCTTGATCCAGTCCTTGTTGTACGGCTGGTACGTCTGCGTGTCCGTGCGGTACCTGCGCACAGAATATCATATTTAATCTATCAGAACAACAAAACTGTATTTAGAGCAGGGGGAAATCTGTTTTGTGATCCATAGAAGGTCAAAAGTATGAGTGAAGTAATAAAGATATGTTTTTTCATTATAAATACACATAAAAGGTTAAAATACAAGTATTTCAGTTCCAATACCCTTAACCTGTTCATGACTTTAAAATATAATCAGTGGCCTCTGGGAGCCAATCAAAGGGTTCAATTACAGTCATATTAATGATGTCACCCGTTTGTTAAACTTACACCAAACAGCTGAGGTCGGCGAGGTCATCGATGAAGTCGAACAGCTGGCTGATGTCGTACGTTATCGACGGGCTGTTGGGGTTCATCCTCTTTAAATGCTCCTCGTACATCTTACACACACCTGAGATACAAGATGCAGGAGATTACACATCAACGTTAAACATCAGCATTTCAAAAGACAAATGGATTACTTAACTGGATACTGTTTTGATCCCTTATGCTGATTAATGAATATGTTAAAACTGTAGTAACGTCTCCCAGGTGTTTGATATTAATTTGTTTTGATCGTTTTTGTGTTTGCTTTCACCTGACACTTTACAGCTGCTCTCCAAAACCTTCCAATGACTACAAGATTATTCATTTATGTGGAGAATAACTGTAAAGCCACATTTACACCTTCTGCACAGACTAGCTTACAGGGAAATGTTTAAATATGTTATACTCTGTGCTTGCTGGTATTCTACTTCTGGCATCAGCCCCTCAAAGTATTCAATTTACTTTTCCCATTTGCAAATGTGTATTTAGCTAAATGCCATATAGAAATGGTCTGGTCTTGTGCTCAGGGGCGCAAGGGGGGTGCTGAGGGCGCTGCAGCACCCCCTAGCGGCAGGCAGGCGGAGCTCCTCTGTCTGCACTTTTTTTTTTTTTAATATATTTTTTTTAATTTCATTTAATTGTGCCCGAGATATTTTATATATTATTATTCAAATGATAATTTTAAACTATATAATGAATTATTTAGCTTCTGGGAAGAAAAATAAAAAAGATGTGGAAACAAAGTGTTTTGGTCGGCTACTTTTAACGACGCACAACAACACAAGTGACGAGTAACTGACATGGCGCAAAAACGTATCTCGGAATTCTTTCTCACTAAAAACGCTAAATCTTCTAAAAAGATTGAAATAGAAGATGCAGGGGATTATTACGCAGAATCTGTGTAAACCAGGAATTAGCAATGCTTTGATAGCCTACTTCAATTAATGTAAATTCCACATAGTTGGTCAAATCATATTTTACATCTTAATAGTGTGTGTGTGTGTGTGTGCTCGCGCTTTTGTGATTCGTGCGTAATTAGCACCTCCACTCAAAATACCTTCCCGCGCCTCTGCTTGTGCTGCACAGTGCAGACACTCACTGGCATTAATCCTGATTTAAAGACATTTAAAAAAAAAATGTAATTACTTATTTCTCAAATTACTTGGAATATGAACGTGCCTGCTTTCATTCAGACCGTCTTCCCCAAAATAACCATAACACCTTTATGCAAGTATACAGAAGCTGAACAAATACATACAAAAGTGTTTAAAATTCAGACTCAGGCTGGATTGGAAGTTCAATGAAAGTGGAAAACTCAGATAAGATTCCCGTTGCGACTTTTACAGAAAGAGAACGCTTGGGCATATTCAAACATAAGACAAAAATCAAATGTAAATCTGCCTTTTTATTCATAAAGTAAATGCCAGTAATGGATATGATATCATGCTGCAATGGAGGGACGTGTAGCTAAAGTGTTAAGGGTGCAGGGCAAGCATCTGTATGTAAGCCACAGAGGAGTGGAGGTGTCATTAGAGGTGACTGTAGGAGAACGAGTTCCACTGCTCCTAACACTAGGATATATATAGGATATATTCTTCAAAAGAACAGGAAGCCTCACCTTCCATGCACTCGTTGACGGACTCATAGTCAGCGTACGTCCTCCCCTCTGGTCTCTTGGTGGGCTGCACCAGCAGGATGGTGTGGGACTGAAAACACACACACACTTTTAAAACACACCTAAAATATATGTTATTGTAGTTTATTAGGGATGGGTATCGTTTGAAATGTATCGATTCCGATTCCGCTTCTCATCGATTCCGGTTCTCATCGATTCCCCGTTTCGATTCCAAAATTGTAAAAGAAAGAAGTCAAACGTTTAGATAACAAAAATATCTTTATTCTTTTAAGCTTTAACTGACATGTTTACAAATAAAAAATATACATGCAATACAAATGTATTGCACAATAGCTGTGCTTTATTTGAACTGAAAGCTATTAACAGGCATTACGCTGTGCCTTGTCTTTTTCTTTCTTAGTGTAGTGGAGCCTCACTTCAGAGCGTTTACCGCGACCCATCTTTGGTGTTAGGAAGTGACTGAGCTCGTGAACTGTCTACGGGAGGGCGCGGGGAGCCTCGCTGCGGGGCAACTGTGGACCTCTATCGCCTGTCAGCGCAACTTACATGATGCCGTTTAAAAAAATTAAGGGCGGTGCCGGCCGTCAGCGAACCGAGCCGGCCGTCAACAGCACGCTGACGATCGGCCGTTCTGTGATTCTCCAGAACACACAGATGGCCAGTCCGCCCTTACCCTGTATTCCACCGGGTCACCGCGGCGCAGACGGACCCGGTGGAATACAGGGTCTACTGCGTTTAGGAACCGTTAAGCAGAACCGAAAGTGTATTTTGTACGGGTACCCGGCATTTTCCTATCGGTTCTCGTCTGGAACCGAGTTTCGGTTCCTAACCCTATAGTTTATTGATCTTTGTTTTGTATTAATCTGAATTGGTAAAGTAGCTAGTAGCTAGAGCAAAAGTAGTATCTGGATAAAGAGTCAATTTGCCTCAAACAGTGAAGTAGGAATAGCAGCACATGGAAATACTGAAGAAAAAGTACCTCTAGTAAATATACTCAGTCACTTTCCACCACTGATGATGCTTTAGGTCTTAGAGGAATATTATCAGTTCAATAATTAACGATAACCTCCATTAGTCCCGTTTCGTTTGATGTTGTTCCCTTAACAAGTAGCTACCCTTGTAAGATAAGGGTAAAGCCAATAACCCAAGACAAATCTGTGTTTTTCCAGATCACTAAGCAAAAAAATGCACACCCAGTGGTGTAGTGTAACAAAGTACATTTACTCAAGTACTGTACTTAAAGTGGACCCATCATGCTATATTGGAAAATATATTGTAGGGCCATACCTATACTAAACATGTCTGTGAAGTGTTTTGCTTCAAATACCAAACAGATCCCCCCCGTTGTAGCCATGCCTCATACTGCTCATACCCCTCTGTTGCAGCACTGTTAGAGAAACGCGGATTTTGGGTCCTTAGCTTGAAAAAACAAAACAAAAGAGGAGGCGGAGCTAATGCCTGATCAGAATTCTACCAGAGATAAAGTTAAACTCTGCTGTGATAAAACGCCATCCTGTTCTAAACCACATCAAGGATTATTTCTGAAATAGTATGGAGCTCAAATGCTTTTTCTCTTGTGGGTTTATCACAAGGTGAGTTCCTTTTTAAAAACACATACTCTCTCCAGTACAGGTTAGCTCTGAGTGTTAGCGAGGCTTGCTAATGTAAACAAAGACGAGATTACGTCCAAAACACGTCAGGCATTGTTTCCGATAGCAACTCTATGTGGGTCTGGCAGCAAATCTGGATCAGCTCCGTTGTACCCCCGATTTTAAAAGATTTGGGTACGGAGGAAAAGAGAAAGGGTTTTATTTTTATGACGCTGCGTGAGACACACCGGTGACACGTATTTATGTATAAAATACATCAAAAAGTGCATTTTGCATGATAGGTCCCCTTTGAGTAAAAATGGAGGTACTTTACTTGTGTATTTTCACAGTATGCCACAATACTTTTACTGCACTACATTTTGTAGGCAAAGATTGTTCTTTGTACTCCTCTACAATTATTTTACAGGTAAAGTTACTTACTACCATTACTTATACAGAATATAAATTAACTGATACATGATTGTATAGTGTATAGGTTAGGTTACCCACTAGTATATAAAGACATCCAATAAAGCCCACATTTACGAAGTGCAACATTGAAGAGATTAACACATAAATGCATCAATAACTATAATACAATAATTAAAATATATAGTGCTTGAATGGCCCATTGTGCATAACAAGTTATTGGTACTTAAAGTATATATTGATACAAATACGATAGTACTAATTTGAAAGCATGACTTTTACGGAGTACTTTGACACGTTAGCATGGCTAATTAAGTACATCATCTGAGTACTGCGCACACCTGAGCCTAGAGCTGAATCTTCATGAACATTAGCTGACATTGGTTCAAAGCGATAAGGAAGTAGTTTAATAACTGTGAAATATACACAGAGGTATGTAGCAGTACATCTTATCTTTATCAGTCTCAGTGGCATTGAGGTTTATTTTCTGCAGCTGCTCAAACGTCCACCACATTGATGCTAACGTTAGCATTCAGCTATTTAGCCTTATTATACCTCTTCATATAAAATAAAAACCACACAGTGATCAGACTAGCAAAAGCCTTCAAGAATTCAAAGACATATATGATCTAAAAATAGTTTCAAGACGTACTAACCATGATTTTGATAGTTTTTCAGAGCAGGTCCGTGTCTTCTTCGTTGCTTCTTCTTCACGGAGGAGTTAGACTGTGACACCGGAAGAACAACCGGCTAGTTATGACTGGGGTCACATTTTGCTCAGGTAACAAATCAGTCTTTTTCACTGACGCATAGATAGCAAACAAACCAACGGACAATACATAAGTAAATAAAGGAGAAAACAATAAGAAAAAACAATAAGAAAACATTAAACAGTACACAAGTATTGAGGACAGAACATGAAATTATTATAGATAAATAAATGCATAAATAAATGTAAATACGGAAATAGATAAATAAATAGAGGAATACATCAATAAAATAATGTAGAAATAAATACAGGAATAAATAAATAAATAAATGTAGAAATAATTACAGAAAAAAATAAATGTGGAAATAAATAGAAGAATATATAAATACAAGAATAAATAAATGCATAAATAAATGTATGAATAAATACGGAAATAGATATATAAATAGAGGAATAAATAAATAGAGGAATAAATAAAAATAATAATAAGAGCAAGGACTGTCTTATATGTGCGCAGCTCCACTTGCTTGGAACAATCTTCAGCAAGAATTGAAACTGAGCAATCTCATTCCTTTGCATGTTTTTAAAGCTAGGCTAAATTAAATGCTTGTTGATACTATGGGCACTTGTAAATGTCTATAACTATGTAAATGTATCCTGTAAATATAATGTATGATGTCCTTTATTGTTTTATGTTTCATGTGAAACCTATATGCTGCAGGTCTCCCTTGAAAAAGAGATCTATGATCTCAATGGGACCAATCTCGTTACATTACATTACATTACATTACATTGCATTTAGCTGACGCTTTTGTCCAAAGCGACTTACAATAAGTACATTAAATAAAGGTTTGAAATGAAATGAAATGAATAATAAATACATGTGGAAATAAATAGAGGAATATATAAATAAAATAATGTTGAAATAAATAGAGGAATATATAAATAAATAAATACAGGAATAAATAAATAAAATAATAAATAAATGTGGAAATAAATACAAGAATATATAAATAAATACATGTTGAAATAAATAGAGGAATATATAAATACTTAAACATATAAATACATACATATATGTATGAATAAATACGGAAATAAAATAATAAATAAATGTGGAAATAAGTATAGAAATAAATACAGCTGTTTTAAATTTTAAAAAAAATGCAGAAATAAATACAGAAAAATATAAAAGACAAAATAAATGTAGAAATAAATACATTTAGCAATAAGTACATAAATAAATAAATGTGGAAATAAGTACATAAATAAATAAATGTGGAAATAAATACATGAATAAAAAAAAGAATACATATATTTGTATATATCTTCAATGTATTTCTTAAAGAGTATTCTGCTCCCCACTCCAATACACTAGGTGGCGGTAAAGCACGGACGCTGAATGCCAACCGCCTCTACCGCAAAAAGCAGAGGAAGCGACCGGAAGTTAGGTGTGAAGACAGGAACAACAAAGAGGAGAAAGCGGAGCGGCTTTAAACCTCTTCAGGAGACACACCTCAACACAAAACCAAGGAAAGTAGCCGTCAACCTCAGTAGGTGAGTTAAACTACTATTATTAAATCATATATTATATCATTCCGCTCTTCAGGAACTACATTTTCTTTGAGCCATGTTTCAGAGAATTAGCCGTTAGCCTCCCAACGGCCGCTAACTGCTCTGCCGTTATTATTGGCTAATGGCTATTTGAGCCGTTAGTAGCTTATTATAATTAAGATACGATTTACTTTATTTATGTATTTATTAGTTTATTCCACTTATGGCAATTATTAGAAAACAAAACATGTACACTTAACGCAGTTTTTGTAGCCTATGATGGAAAGGAGCATGGAGAAGAAAGTCTTATTTTACCTGCCCCTTGTTAAAAAAAATGTACAATAAAAATGGATGGTCTGTTAGTAACACAGCTGCACATACATGTTAAAGGTTTTTAAAGACTCTTTTGCATTTTATTTCTTCGTTTTATATTCTATATTAATGTTCTAGATCTTGTTATAACCCTATATTTTTTTATTCGTATTTATATCTCTATTGTATGCACCACCAAACACTAACTTCCTTGCTAGTAACCTGTTAATAGAAATACCATAAGCTGTGCCGTTATGGCATCAGAATCAGAAGAGGTGTAAAGTAACTAAGTACATTTACTCAGTAGTAATTTTGAGGTACTTGTACTTTACTTGAGTATCTCCATGTGTTGCTACTTTGTTCTTCTACTCCACTACAGTTCAGAGGAAAGAACAAGGTTTTCTTTATTGATCCCAAATTGGGAATGTAGAAGCATCAAAGCAGAATGTTAAAACAAGGCATAACACATGATTAGAAAAAACATCCCAAAAATAAAACAGAACAATGTTGAAATGATGAAACTATGAAGGGCCAAATAACAGCTAACACAATTGTAAAGTATGATTTCAAACCTTTATTTATCCAGGTGTATCCCATTGAGATCATTGATCTCTTTTTCAAGGGAGACCTGCTCATGAAACATAAAAACATAAACAGAACAACCAAAGGACATCATACAGCATCATTACAGGGATTACGATTTACATAACTATCCACATGTGCAGGTACCAACAGCTTCCGATTGAGTAGCATCCAACCGAGCTTTAAAAACATTTAGTGGCACCAGATTGCTCAGTTCCCATTTCAATTGCAGACTATTTCAAGACAGAGGAGCTGCGCATCTAACAGCTGTCTTCCCTAAGACAGTCCTAGCAGTTGGCACATTTAATAAAACCACAGCATGCGATCTCAGGCAGTAGCCACTTACATTTCGCCGTGAGATCAGGGAGCAGATGTAAGATGGAAGTTTCCCTAACATGGCTTTGTATATAAAAATGTACCAGTGACTGAGCCTCCGTACAGTTAGCGAAGGCAAACCAGCCCTCGCATACAGGGTACAGTGATGGGTTAATGCTTTACAGTTTGTCACAAATCTCAGTGCGCTGTGATAGGCGGCATCTAACTTGACCAGGCAATGGGCAGGTGCATTCATATACATCAGATCACCAGAGTCCAGCACAGTGATGTTATTTATATTAGTCAATATGCTCTCTTTTTGTGTTTTCTGATTTTAAATCACTGTCAAGTAATTTTCAAATCACATATTTGCGACTCAGGGCTATAAAACATATGCACCTTTACTTTGATTTGAATGTCAATGAATTCTATGCCTTTTATTATGCACATTTAACATACTTCTATAACTTAATATTAAACTCCTATTCTCTTTCAACAGGGCAATAGAATCTGGTGTGCATGTGAGGACAAGCGTCAGCCGAGCCGAACATGGCGAACAATGCCGAGGATATCGAGAACAACATGGTTCATGTGTGTGTGTGTGTGTGTGTGTGTGTCAGATTGTGACGCCACACACTGTGCAGCAGTCTGATAACTGTGGTGTCATCAGGATGTTAATGCAGTAAATGAGTATTGTGTTCTTTGCTCTCTGTTAGGCTCTCACTGTAAATAAAGGTGTGGCTGGTCCAGCAGTCAAAGTCTCTTTCACTGTCTACGTCACAACCTTAAGCCTTGTTTATCCCATAACAGCTGTGCTTGTACTTTTCAACAGTATGTCTCTTTCTTGGAGAGCTGCTAAACATTTAATTTCTGTCTTAGCTGCATATTATGGTCTGTATGATGTCAGCCAGGTCAGAAAAGCTTAGCCTGGACAGTGTGGCTGCAGCAGAGGTTCAAAAGAAGGTTAATGTTCATCATATCAGGGCTCAAGATAAAGATTCCTTTCTTGTACAATGAGAGGCGAGTAAATCTAGCTACTACAATTAAACACAACAGTTTCCTTGCTTCTCATTATCCTGGAAACATGAGTTTAGTTGGGTGACATTAGAGGATATGGTTGAAGCTGACGGCTTCATGTTCTGTTCTTAGTGAGACTGCTTCATGTTTCTGTGTTCTTAGTGAGACTGCTTCATGTTTCTGTGTTCTTAGTGAGACTGCTTCATGTTTCTGTGTTCTTAGTGAGACTGCTTCATGTTTCTGTGTTCTTAGTGAGACTGCTTCATGTTTCTGTGTTCTTAGAGAGACTGCTTCATGTTTCTGTGTTCTTAGAGAGACTGCTTCATGTTTCTGTGTTCTTAGAGAGACTGCTTCATGTTTCTGTGTTCTTACTGAGACTGCTTCATGTTTCTGTGTTCTTAGTGAGACTGCTTCATGTTTCTGTGTTCTTAGTGAGACTGCTTCATGTTTCTGTGTTCTTAGTGAGACTGCTTCATGTTTCTGTGTTCCTTAGAGAGACTGCTTCATGTTTCTGTGTTCTTAGTGAGACTGCTTCATGTTTCTTGTGTTCTTAGTGAGACTGCTTCATGTTTCTGTGTTCTTAGTGAGACTGCTTTCATGTTTTCTGTGTTCTTAGTGAGACTGTTTCATGTTTCTGTGTTCTTAGTGAGACTGCTTCATGTTTCTGTGTTCTTAGTGAGACTGCTTCATGTTTCTGTGTTCTTAGAGAGACTGCTTCATGTTTCTGTGTTCTTAGAGAGACTGCTTCATGTTTCTGTGTTCTTAGAGAGACTGCTTCATGTTTCTGTGTTCTTAGAGAGACTGCTTCATGTTTCTGTGTTCTCAGTGAGACCTGCTTCATGTTTCTGTGTTCTTAGTGAGACTGCTTCATGTTTCTGTGTTCTTAGTGAGACTGCTTCATGTTTCTGTGTTCTTAGTGAGACTGTTTCATGTTTCTGTGTTCTTAGTGAGACTGCTTCATGTTTCTGTGTTCTTAGTGAGACTGCTTCATGTTTCTGTGTTCTTAGAGAGACTGCTTCATGTTTCTGTGTTCTTAGAGAGACTGCTTCATGTTCTGTGTTCTTAGAGAGACTGCTTCATGTTTCTGTGTTCTCAGTGAGACTGCTTCATGTTTCTGTGTTCTTAGTGAGACTGCTTCATGTTTCTGTGTTCTCAGTGAGACTGCTTCATGTTTCTGTGTTCTTAGAGAGACTGCTTCATGTTTCTGTGTTCTTAGTGAGACTGCTTCATGTTTCTGTGTTCTTAGTGAGACTGTTTCATGTTTCTGTGTTCTTAGAGAGACTGTTTCATGTTTCTGTGTTCTTAGTGAGACTGCTTCATGTTTCTGTGTTCTTAGTGAGACTGCTTCATGTTTCTGTGTTCTTAGAGAGACTGCTTCATGTTTCTGTGTTCTTAGAGAGACTGCTTCATGTTTCTGTGTTCTTAGAGAGACTGCTTCATGTTTCTGTGTTCTCAGTGAGACTGCTTCATGTTTCTGTGTTCTTAGTGAGACTGCTTCATGTTTCTGTGTTCTCAGTGAGACTGCTTCATGTTTCTGTGTTCTTAGAGAGACTGCTTCAATGTTTCTGTGTGTTCTTAGTGAGACTGACTTGCATGTTTCTGTGTTCTTAGTGAGACTGTTTCATGTTTCTGTGTTCTTAGAGAGACTGTTTCATGTTTCTGTGTTCTTAGAGAGACCCTGCTTCATGTTTCTGTGTTCTAGAGAGACTGTTTCATGTTTCTGTGTTCTTAGTGAGACTGCTTATGTTTCTGTGTTCTTAGTGAGACGCTTCATGTTTTCTGTGTTCTGATTGAGACTGCTTCATGTTTCTGTGTTCGTGGTGAGACTGCTCAATGTCTGTGTTCTTAGTGAGACTGCTTCATGTTTCTGTGTTCTTAGAGAGACTGCTTCATGTTTCTGTGTTCTTAGTGAGACTGCTTCATGTTTCTGTGTTCTTAGTGAGAACTGCTTCATGTTTCTGTGTTCTTAGTGAGACTGCTTCATGTTTCTGTGTTCTTGGTGAGACTGCTTCATGTTCTGTGTTCTTAGTGAGACTGCTTCATGTTCTGTGTTCTTATGAGACTGGCTTCATGTTCTGGTGTTCTCATTGAGACTGCTTCATGTTTCTGTGTTCTTGGTGAGACTGCTTCATGTTTCTGTGTTCTTAGTGAGACTGCTTCATGTTTCTTCTGTGTTCTTAGTGAGACGGCTTCATGTTTTCTGTGTTCTTGGTGATACTGCTTCATGTTTCTGTGTTCTTATGAGACTGCTTCATGTTTCTGTGTTCTTAGTGAGACTGCTTCATGTTTCTGTGTTCGTGGTGAGACTGCTTCATGTTTCTGTGATCTTAGTGAGACTGCTTCATGTTTCTGTGTTTCTTAGTTAGACTGCTTCATGTTTCTGTGACTTAGTGAGACTGTTTCCTGTTTCTGTGTTCTTAGAAGAGACTGCTTCATGTTTCTGTGTTCTCAAGTGAGACTGCTTCATGTTTCTGTGTTCTTAGAGAGACTGCTTCATTTTCTGTGTTCTTAGAGAGACTGCTTCATGTTTCGTGTTCTTAGAGAGACTGCTTCATGTTCTGTGTTCTCAGTGAGACTGCTTCATGTTTCTGTGTTTCTTAGAGAGACTGCTTTCATGTTTCTGTGTTCTTAGAGAGACTGCTTCATGTTTCTGTGTTCTTAGAGAGACTGCTTCATGTTTCTGTGTTCTTAGAGAGACTGCTTCATGTTTCTGTGTTCTTAGTGAGACTGCTTCATGTTTCTGTGTTCTTAGTGAGACTGTTTCATGTTTCTGTGTTCTTAGTGAGACTGCTTCATGTTTCTGTGTTCTTAGTGAGACTGCTTCATGTTTCTGTGTTCTTAGTGAGACTGCTTCATGTTTCTGTGTTCTTAGTGAGACTGCTTCATGTTTCTGTTGTTCGTGGTGAGACTGCTTCATGTTTTCCTGTGTTCTTGGTGAGACTGCTTCATGTTTCTGTGTTCTTAGTGAGTCTGCTTCATGTTTCTGTGTTCTAGTGAGACTGCTTCAATGTTTCTGTGTTCTTAGTGAGACTGCTTCATGTTTCTGTGTTCTTAGAGAGACTGGCTTCATGTTTTCTGGTGTTCTTAGTGAGACTGCTTCATGTTTGCTGTGTTCTTAGTGAGACTGCTTCATGTTTCTGTGTTCTTAGTGAGACTGCTTCATGTTTCTGTGTTCTTGGTGAGACTGCTTCATGTTTCTGTGTTCTTAGTGAGACTGCTTCATGTTTCTGTGTTCTTAGTGAGAGCTTAGGCTTCATGGTTTCTGTGTTCTCAGTGAGACTGCTTCATGTTTCTGTGTTCTTGGTGAGACTGCTTCATGTTTCTGTGTTCTTAGTGAGACTGCTTCATGTTTCTGTGTTCTTAGTGAGACTGCTTCATGTTTCTGTGTTCTTGGTGAGACTGCTTCATGTTTCTGTGTTCTTAGTGAGACTGCTTCATGTTTCTGTGTTCTTGGTGAGACTGCTTCATGTTTCTGTGTTCTTAGTGAGACTGCTTCATGTTTCTGTGTTCTTGGTGAGACTGCTTCATGTTTCTGTGTTTTTGGTGAGACTGCTTCATGTTTCTGTGTTCTTAGTGAGACTGCTTCATGTTTCTGTGTTCTTAGTGAGACTGCTTCATTTTCTGTGTTCTTAGAGAGACTGCTTCATGTTTCTGTGTTCTTAGTGAGACTGCTTCATGTTTCTGTGTTCTTGGTGAGACTTCATGTTTCTGTGTCTCAGTGAGACTGCTTCATGTTTCTGTGTTTTTGGTGGTGAGACTGCTTCATGTTTCTGTGTTCTTAGTGAGACTGCTTCATGTTTCTGTGTTCTTAGTGAGACTGCTTCATGTTTCTGTGTTCTTAGTGAGACTGCTTCATGTTCTGTGTTCTTAGTGAGACTGCTTCATGTTTCTGTGTTCTTAGTGAGACTGCTTCATGTTTCTGTGTTCTTAGTGAGACTGCTTCATGTTTCTGTTTCTTACTGAGACTGCTTCATGTTTCTGTGTTCTTAGTGAGACTGCTTCATGTTTCTGTGTTCTCAGTGAGACTGCTTCATGTTTTCTGTGTTCTTAGTGAGACTGCTTCATGTTTCTGTGTTCTTAGAGAGACTGCTTCATGTTTCTGTGTTCTTAGTGAGACTGCTTCATGTTTCTGTGTTCTTAGTGAGACTGCTTCATGTTTCTGTGTTCTTAGTGAGACTGCTTCATGTTTCTGTGTTCTCAGTGAGACTGCTTCATGTTTCTGTGTTCTTAGTGAGACTGCTTCATGTTTCTGTGTTCTTAGTGAGACTGCTTCATGTTTCTGTGTTCTCAGTGAGGACTGCTTCATTTTTCTGTGTTTCTTAGTGAGACTTGCTTCATGTTCTGTGTTCTTAGAGAGACTGCTTCATGTTTCTGTGTTCTTAGTGAGACTGCTTCATGTTTCTGTGTTCTTGGTGAGACTGCTCATGTTTCTGTGTTTCTTAGTGAGACCTGCTTCATGTTTCTGTGTTCTTACTGAGACTGCTTCATGTTTCTGTGTTCTTAGAGAGACTGCTTCATGTTTCTGTGTTCTTAGTGAGACTGCTTCATTTTTCTGTGTTCTTAGTGAG